TAGACATTTTTGAAATTTTGCCAAACCACGTGTGATTTAAGTCCACACAATAACAAGCATGGAGAAAGATGGCTGCCTGCATCCAAAAAGGTCTGTGGTTTATTTTCTATTTAGTTTAAATTGGTTACGGGGGTTTCACAAAAAAAAGGATGTATGTTTATCTGCGCGTGGCTTTTATTTTGAAAGTTTCTGGCTGTTGTACACTGCTTTTGTTGTTGTCATCCTGTCTGGCCCTATCGAAACTGCAACATTTGATGCATATGACACATAATTATAGTGGTCCTTTTGCTTCTGGGACATGTCCAAAACATCACACTTTACTGCTGCTGGAAATGAACCCACCCACTAATGGCGGCTAATTGCTATGAAGTATGCTTCGCGGCCACTTGGTGATGCTTTCATGCCTGGTGGAAAGGAGGTTTTAGAGTTGCAAGAAATAACATTTCATAAAGTCAAACAGTAAACAACCGATTTAGGTTATTGGTGGTTTTCTGTTAGATCACGGAGTGCATTTTTCCACATTTTGCTTCGTTTTTTGTAAAAATAAATCAACATGGAGAAATCTGAGTGTTTGTATAAATTTGAGGGCAGGTTTGAAGAAAAGACTAGAAAATCAATTGTCTTGATGTATTCCACCCTAAAATAAAAAGGTCCACTTTATTTTTTACCATGACTGAATTTTTTTTAGCAAGTACCTCTTTGAGCTCACAGCTTATGTCTGTTTTCTCTGGAAAAATAAAGGCTTTGGCACAGCCGATAGGGCTTTAATTACCCAATAACGATTTACACCGTGTTCCTGCACTTTGGCTTTGTGCTGGTTAAGTGAATAGAAATTGCTTATAATGAGTCATGATTCATTTCTTGTCTTTGCATTTATTTTTCTAATTTATCACCACTTGAGGTGCATTCCACCTCGTCAAGTAACTGAACAAAAACTTTGTTATAGCATTGTTTGAAACAACTAAACTTTATGTATCTTAGAAACAAATCTTTTTTATTATCAATGTCTTATTTTCTTAATGTCATTATTTTTTGGATAATCTTTAATTTTAGATTAATTCAAATTTGGTCAGAAATGACTTTTTGGTAACCGCTTTTACTCTGAGACAATAATAAATGTTGAGATTCACGTGGTAGCGGGGTGTTCCCAACCAGCAAACTACCACAATTCCTGCTTTGATAAATGTTCATGAATGAAGTGTTTTTGGTTAAATAGCCTAGCTGCTATAGTTACCTGGTATGTATAGTTAAGGTGAATGAGTGCTCTTAGTTTTTCAGTAACATAAATCTGTATTTTACCACGTTGCTTTCTTATTTAAATAATAAAAAAATGTTTGTTAGTATTGTCTTATTCTAAAACCTACTGAATCATCTTTTCTCAGATTTTCTCCTGATTTGTTAAACTTTGAATGTACTTGTTTTATTTGATCTTGGTTAAAATCTGTATCATAATAGCATTAGATCGGTACACTGTGAGAGCTGTAGGTTCTTTATCAGTTATTTTTCTACGTTTGAAAGAAGAAAACATAACTGACGAAATTCGCTGTCTGCTGCAGTTTGGAGCTTTTTTTTTTTCCTCTGGGAGGTTTTACTCACACCAGAAGACAGAGATGTGTTCAAACAAAAGGGAGACGTGTTTAGACACTGCTGCATGTCAAAAAGACAACCTGGTACTAACTCACTTCTGTAACGACTGTAGATTCATAAATGTTTTTGCTGTAGCTCCAGCCGTCCACACAGCCCTCCCGCTCCAGGTCAGTAAGGTTGACATCCCTGCCAGGAATGAATCTCAGAGCAGAGATTTCGGATCACATCCAGTTTGTATCTGCTGCATCTGCTCTGCTCCTGTTTCCCGTTCACCACCTCACAGCGAAAACAGCAAAAGCTGAAATAATGCATAATTAAACACCACTTCACTATTGGAAGAAGTTGTATCTCATCCAGCTGCACAGTTCCAATATACTTTAACATTGCCGCACCATCATACATGCATGACAAAGCTGCATGAGAATCATGCAGCAGAAATAAAACTTCACTTTACATTTAAGTAGTTATCAAAAGTGTATCAAAGCTAAAATGTTATTGGGACAAAAAAAAGAGAAAAGAACTGAATAAAATAATACAATAAAAAAAAACTACTGCAGGTTGCTGCTAAAAACACTGAATCTACAGACTAAAGA